AAGATTTTGATCCAGTTTTAAAGTAGGGGTCCTCACACCGAGCTTGGTATTCGGTATTCGGTAATTTTTCCCAATGTATTTTGTTTGTGTAAAATTATTTCATTATCGGTGTTCCGAATTATCGTGAAGGAAGCTTGATAATTTATCTGGTAGTTGGTAAACTGGNTCAGGTGGAGAAGGACTTGGCTTCACTTGGCGTTTCCAATTGGCGTCAGTTGGCACAGAGGAGAAACGACTGGCGTGCTTTGCTGAACTCGGCCAAAATCGCTTAGGCGGTTACAGCGCCAAAAAAGAAGAAGAAGAAGTTGGTAAACTGCAATCAGCTGTTCGATATTTATTCAATTTTAAATCCGCGCGCTGCCGAAAGGCATAACGCATATGAGTAAGTAAATTTATTTAAATTTTCTGTTACAATTAATTTGTTTAGGAAAAAAGCTACAAATCCGCTCTTGATAAACACAGTTTACCAGGCTAACAAAAGAAAANACATGATTGTCCTTTTTTTCCAAGCAAATTTTTAACGAAAAATTATCTGCGCAAGAACAACCCCTACCTTTGAAAATGTGCGACCAACTGATAGTGTTGTTCCGATGCGAGTAACTATNAAAAGAAAACTGAAAATGATGTTCACAGTTGATAAAATTACCGAGTGTCAACCAGCAATTTACCAAAACTACCACAATGGATGTGAAGACCCTTAGTGTAACATTAGCATATACTAACTGATAGATAATTTTGTCTGAACAAATTCCCTCTCCTACTCTCTGTCTNTCCTTCCCGCAAGTACTTAGGTGGGTATCGAATACGCGATTAAAGTATTATTTGCTTTTCCAAAAATTCTGAATTACGGTTCTAACAATATATGAATCATGCTGTTGTTGGTTTTGCACCACTNATTTTGTCTGAACAAATTCCCTCTCCTACTCTCTGTCTCTTTCAAATCAGTGTCAGTAGTGCAAATTAACTATTTGGTTACAATTCTAGAACAAATTTAATATAACTAAAAGCACGGTCGTAGAACAAAAGTAGATGAATGCATGGTTGTATTATGGATTACGTTTTCCTGCAACAAATTTTTTACATACATATGTACATATGTAATTTGGTGGAAAAACTAAAATAAAAAATCGTCNTTTCCCGTACTAGTCAATTATTAAAATTTTGCAAGATACAGACTTGTGGCTACTTTTTCGGTAAGTTTTGGTCGGAGAGTACTCGTACCGATTCTGTTTTTCTTCACATGACATAAGTACTTACAGTGAGTTCGATATGAGAAAGTATCGAGTACTTCTCTCCGATACATTTGTGGCATCGATACTTTTCTTCAATATTTTTAAAGAGTACAGGTATCGAGTACAAGGTCGATCCGGAACAACACTACCAACTGAACGCTGACAATGCAAAAGTGAATTACAAAACAGCTAATAGGCGCGCAAGCAAGTCGGTACCAGTGTTGCCACAAAGATTTTAATTTTTTACCAAACCTCTAAAAAAAATTACCAAACTCAGAACAAAATTACCAAATTTTTATGAGAATAATATTCTAAACAAATTGGAAATTATTTTTCGACGTATGTAGATAATACACCACGTCTGGGATTGTGGCCAGCTTAGATCTATTTTTATTTTTCGACCGAAAAATTAGTTCTTCCCATTCTTTTATGACAAACTCATAAAAATGCATAATGTCGCTGCCGCGTTCAAAAAATTCATATCACCATCGACTTAGCGTTTAGATAACGAAGACGAACAATTTACAGCTGTGGTTGTCCTTTTCAATGTGTTCCGACTATAACAATTCACAAATATTTTTAATGGCCGGTTGTTCAATGTATTTAACCGGAGCTTCTACCTCTGATTTGTACTAATCAGACATTGAACAATCGGCCCTAAAACATAAAAGAAAAAAATCGCTCATAGATTTATAAACATTTAAAAGGTGTTTAATAGTTCATTTCTACTGCAGTTTATGCCTATTGGAAAAAAGCAGATTACAACTCGAAGGAGGTAGTTGCTCATATTAGGTACAAGCAAATGAAAGGAAAATAACAAAACCGAATAAATAAACATTGCAGATCACCTCTTGTTGAAAATATCTAAACTCTTAACTGTAGTTAAGCGTTTGGTGGAAATGGGCTGTAACATACAGTCTTTTACATAATTTATTTTACATAACTTAAAACCAAAACATGAAACCAGCAAATGTATCGTTAAACGGTAGATAAAATCTACTTTTACTATTTTATAAGTGGGTCACATTCGTACTTAATTGCAAACTTTTAATTAGTCCCGTGAAATTATTTTCTTTCACCATTGGTTCCGGCAGGTAAAAATGATCCAAAACCCAGATTTGTGGGACTGTAGGGGCTGTGATCGAGCCGCCATATTGGGAAAAATGGGTGGTTTCCTGCTGTATTGCAAACTCATAATAAAAGTTCTGAGTTGTCAAGGCAAATTGTTACATTAAAGAGCCCTTTCAATGTTTGGCTATCTTAAGTACATAAGCAAATTTTTTTGTTTTGAGCAATTGTCAGAAGGTTCAAAGTTATACATTTTTATATGTAATAAGTTAGTAATAAAAACTTAAAAGAAAAGACTTACGTTAAAAAAATTACCAAATTGAGAAAAAAATTACCAAATTACCAAACTCCTCCTAAAAAGAAAAAAATTACCAGTTTTGGTAAAAAATTACCAAAGCGGCAACGCTGGTCGGTACTCACCACCAGTGTTGCCATTTCTGTTTCTGCCGTTCCGCCAGATTAATAAACAAAAATCGCTAGAATCCTGCTAAATCATTTAAATTCTCTAAACTCTTATGAAAAAAAGTTTCTTTTATAATTTAGCAGTTAAACTTTATTTGATAAAGATAGAGATCATATGTTTATAAAAAACCATCAGTTTTTTAACAAAAACAAAATTGGGACTTAGTTATGAGGTTTTATAACCAGTGTTGGGATTTTGTGGCATTAAATTAAGTATAAATATTGGTGATAAGAATGTCGTCTTCGTTTGTTTAACTACCACTACTAGCGTTTGTACTAGCTTTGTTTAAAGATTTTGTTGTTGTCTAGCATAGAAAAAGGAATTAAAAAAATACAACTGTGACTTCTGTGTTTTCGGTGCGTATTAACGGTATAACATACTATGTAATTTTTAAGTCTTTACTTTCGGACTTATAATTTTATGAGACTGTAAATCCACCAATTTGTTTTAAAATTTTTGCGTTGCATTTTAAATTACTTTGAGTTTATAATTAATANTTTGACGTGTTTTTAGCTCAATGACGATTTGATGATTTTTCCCCCGTAATCACGATTTTTTATTTTAGTTTTTCCACCAAATTACATATGCACATATGTATGTAAAAAATTTGTTGCAGGAAAACGTAATCCAAAATACAACCATGCATTTATCTAGTTTTGTTCTACGACCGTGCGTTTAGTTATAATAAATTTGTTCTAGAATTGTAACCATATAGTTAATTTGCACTACTGACACTGATTTGAAAGAGACAGAGNTTACTGAAACAAAATTTTTTATGTTTTGATTTGTCCCAAGTTTTGGTGCTTTTAGGAAAGTTGGCAGCCATGGGGTCTCACATTCGTGAGTACTCACATATACTTGTTCTCTCATTCCGATCACACATATAGATGCAATTCGCGCATAATTACCTCACCTCATATACCCGCCGGTTTGCACATTTGCCCGCGGTTTGCACGTTTGGGCATTTTACCCGTATGTACACATTATGCCCATCGCTAGCTTAGTCGATTTCAGACACGAAAAGTTTGTTGCGGAAACTCGAAGCTTGTACGGGAGAGANGAACAAGTATATGTGAGTACTCACGAATGTGAGACCCCATGGCTGCCAACCTTCCTAAAAGCACCAAAACATAAAAAATTTTGTCTCAACCTAATATTGCCGGCGAGAGTTTTTTTTTCGCCCGCACGCAAGCAAGTTTTTCTCATTTGAGAAACCCAAATCAATTNAGCAACGAGGAAAGGGGACGGGTACCGAGTCGCCCGTCCTCGGGAAACACACTTTGTGCTCTCGTTCGTCTGAGTAATTTAAGTTGGCGGCTCACAGCTGACAACATCAATTGCGTACAAAAGAGTTTCTGTGTGTGAGTGCAAAGGGGCAGCACCAAAAGAGAAATCGCCAATAATAAGCAACTCGAGTTTCCGTGTTTGAACGCAGACNGCCCGCACGCAAGCAAGTTTTTCTCATTTGAGAAACCCAAATCAATTTGAGTGCGTGATTTCTCAGAGTTGCATTTCTGTCAAATTTACAGAAGTTGGCTGAGAAAAATTTGAGTTCATAGTCGCGCCAAGGTGCCAATTGAGTATAAACGTCAAATCGAAATGTCACGCAAGACAAATCTTGGAATTTGAGTTAGCTTTTTACGCACGCATATAAGTTTGGCCTGTAACAATTCTTCCCGATATAAATTGGGCTTTGAAGTGCAGAAATTTGTACTATGGTTAGGATTGCATGTGGTGGGATTGAACCCGCGGCCTCGGTGCTTAAGTCAACACCTCAATCTCTACGTGTTGTAATAATCATAAAGTCCGGCGCTTACACAATATGTTAGTGTTTGCCGAACTTCTCCTCCGATTTGTCGCGTGGGCCGTAATGTTGTGGCACAAAGTAGGGCTGCGACATCGACAAACATCGATGTTTTGAGGCAACATCGAGTGTTTTGAACATCGATTTTTTGCTTCGATGTTTTTCTTCGATCTCGGCTTATTTACAACCAACTTCCAGCAATTGACCAACTGGTTCGCCGATAAATCAATGCGTGTGTAGGGCCTTTAAAGTTTCCATACTTAGTTTTGGACAAAAACAATCGATTAGTTTAATCAAATGATTAATCACTGGCATCCCTAGATGGGCGCCACCTTTGATCTCTACATCGTGATCTCAAGGCATATTGCAGAAATTTTTATTGTTTTTATTGTCGCTAAATTCTTTGTTTCCAGTTTTGATTCACAATAGTGGAATGGCGCCTAAAAGTAGCGTGTGGAAGTTTTTCGAAAAACACAATAAAAAACCGAATGAATTGGCTGTATGTGTTGTTTGTAACAAACACCTAAAAGCATGTGGCAATACAAGCAATCTCATAGGTCAAATTAAAGCTATGCACAATGATATTTTCGTAACCCATCTAACATCTTCCGAAAAAGTGCTTAATAAGACCGACGGCACCGAAGTAAATAAAAATGCAAGTCTCGTTCCCGCATCTTCAGAACCTTGCCCAAGTACCAGCTCATCACACCCAGTATCTGCGCTATCATCAGGATTTCAGCAGAATTTGCAAACGTGTTTCGCAAATATAAGCTCTTTCAAGGACGGCGGTGATAAAAGTAACAAAATAACAGCGGCTATCTTGTTCATGATATGCCGAGACAATCAGCCCATTTCTATCGTGGAAGACGAAGGGTTTTGTCATTTATTAAAAATAGTATCACCATTGTATAAAATACCTTCAAGGAGAACGTTCTATTCTCTCCTGGAGAAAAAGTACGATTTCATTTCGAATTTGGTCAAGAAGGAATTGTCGACGGTACCCTTCATATGTTTAACCACTGATGTGTGGACCGAAACACACCAAATGAAAGCATTTCTTGGAGTTACTGCGCATTTTATTTCATTTTGTGGAAATGAAAAAACGTTTAAATTGGAAAGTATTGTACTTGGCGTGAAAGAACTGACAGTAAGTCACACTGGGGAAAATCTTTCTGAGGTGTTATCAAACGTTTGTACTGAGTGGAACCGATGGAGGAAGCAATATGATCAAAGCAGTAGAATTAGCGTTCGAAAAAAGAAAGCACTGCTATTGATTCGCGCATTTATTGAATCTGCTAGCTCAGAAGTCCATTGACTCTCTTCCTGAGCTAAAAATTGTTTTGGATCAGGTGAAGTCCATTGTGACTTGGTTTAGACATAGCGTTGTGGGAAGTGACGAACTAAGAAAAAAAACTAAACTATAAGAAAAAAATACTTTAATTCAGTCAGTTTCAACGCGTTGGAATAGCACATATTACATGGTAGAAAGGTTCTTATTTCTCCGAGAAATAGTTAATAATATAATCACGTTCAACACCAGTGCACCACAAATGGTGTCAGCTCTCGACATGGAAGTTTTGAAGGATTTTGTAGTTATGTTCAAACCAATTGAATTTGCAACAAAAGAAGCTTGTGGTGACAAGTTTGTTACATCTAGCATCGTTATACCAGTGGTTCGCTTGTTGCGAAAAAAGGTCATGGGAGCTACAACCAATACGAATTTGGGAACAACATTGAAGGGCAACATCATGATAGAATGGAACAAGCGGTTCAAAAACATCGAGCATCACTGTCAGTTTGCGATGGCTACGATACTTGATCCGAGGTTTAAAAACATCCATTTCGATGACAGTGTGGCAGTGGGGATGGCAATCCGGAAGTTGACATCTGAAATGAAGGAGGAAGAAGAAGAAACGTCATCAGAATCCGATGTTGAACAAGTCAACCAAGATGATGAAATTGGTAGGTATTTCTGACTAAGGAACCTAATGAACAAAGGCCTAATGCGGACATAAAAACTTTGCCAGTAATTTTTATGCCACTTTTGAAATAACGAGTAAAATGCATATTTTAACTAAACGTTGACGTATATTTTGTTTTCAGGTGATGGCTTTAGTCTATGGGACGACCACCACAGGCTCGTACAGGAAAGTTGGAAATCAAAAAAACGGATAAGGACTGTAGATGAACTAGGCACATTAAATACGATGCCACCGGAATTATCAATTTATTTGAAGAGCCCAGTCGTTAAGCTAACGGATTGTCCCCTGGATGTGTGGCCAGAAGGATACCACAAAAACTCTTCTTTGTTGGAAATAGCAATGAAATACTTAACAGTGATGGCAACTTCCGTGCCGTCAGAACGTGTTTTTTCCACCACGGGAAATATTGTTACCTGTAAAAGAAGTTGCTTATCGGGAGAAAAACTGGACAAACTGCTTTTTTTACAAACTGTTAATAGTAAGTTTTGGGGCTTACAGTGATATTAATGTTATTCAGTATTGTTATTTTACGACAATTATGGTATATTTACCACTATTTGATTTTTGCATCATTCATTTACTTTTCGCAAGTGTCTCTTTTTTTTTGTTGTAATTCATTGAATAAATTGACTTATGTTTTGTTGAGTTTTTGTTATTCTGCGAAATAAAAATGTACGTTTTAAAAGAATATACTGGGCGTTATGCGTAAAAATTTTTATGCATAAATAGTCGAGTTTAAGCTCACATCATCAGTACAAAACCTGAACCTGAGCCCAAGCTCACTTTTTATGTATGAGGTTATATTATGTGGGAGGTATAATGCAGAAAAGTTTACTCATTTATTACACATCTTCATTAAAAAAAAGTCATTAAAACATGTTTTACCAACATCGATATTGACCCCAGCAGAACATCGATACTTGAAACATCGATGTTAAGTGGTCGATGTCGCAGCCCTAGCACAAAGGGGGTGCCTACTGTTTTTTGTCGACTCTGAACGGCGATTGTATTTTATGGGAAGCTGTTTTTCATTTTCAGGGTTTGCGCACTTTTAACCACTACACCCCAGCGGCCTATATGCGAGACCTATATTCAGATACATTTTTTGGTTTTTGGTATCGATATTTGGAATATCGAGTCTTTTTATTCCGATATTAATGGGTACCCGATATTTTTAAAGCGATACTTTAAATGAGTACCATATCGATACTTTCGGTTCGATATCGTGTCCCTACTTCAAAGAAATATTTATTAGTATTTACCAAACCCTTCAACTAAATTAACGATTTGGTACAACCTAGATGAATATTAGAAGCTTTGATATATTAAGTTATAATTGCCAACCCATGGTAATAGTTCCCAATCCTTGGTAACAGTTCCCAAATATTGTCAAAATTCGGGAACTAAATATCTTTAGTTGTCGAAACTAATCCTTTTTCTCAGTGTATTAACCGCAATTCCGGTGACCAACCCTGACTAGATATTACGTCGTTGAAGATTATGTTAGTCTCATGTGGCTGCTGATCAATTTGCCAGCACATTTAAGCCAGCAAATTAGCTCTTTGTAATACCACATAGATTTCGGAAACCCCTACTCCAGTTTGTGGAGTCAGTGAATCTGAGCAGCTGACATACGTTCAACATTGCCGCTGCGCTCAGATCGTTTAAAAATCATGTGCCCAGAATTTATCGTCTCCTACATAGTGCAGGATATTCACACAGTAAGCTTCTGCAGAAGTCATTTTGGGGCACTCTTAATATTCCGAGAAACAGTACCATATATAAAACACGCTTAACCGTAGTGTTGTTTGTGTTTTGAAAGCTCTGATATCGAGAAGTGCAATATTTGAAACATAATTTCACATTCCGCTGTAGAGGAGTGTGTTGAGGCGCTTGCAATAATTTCGCAGGTTCCTGAAGGTCGTATTTCATGAAACATACAATTTTGTAATACAGGTACAGTTTTTGAGCGATTTATTTTTTATTTGCACATTTCTTTATAGTGCTGAAATTAGCATGATTTCGACCGTTTACAAAAAAGTATTTTTAGTCACTTTGCAAAAAAATATTTTAGCGAACGTGGCAGGTGAATTCAATACGAGACTGCAGTTTCTGATAAACTACAATTGGATTCAAGTGATACAAAAAAATTCGGGGTATATATTTTTTGCTTATTTTACTTTTGATTTTAAAGTAACAAAAAATGTTTTTTTTTTTATTTCGTGATAAATACATATTTGCAAATTTCTATAAAATCAATGGTATAATATATTAGTAAACCGATAAATTATTTAAAAAGTAAGACACAATTCCTATAGAGTGATATATCACACAAGAATATTGTTTATAAATAAGTTAGTGACAGCAATTTATAGCATGGAATAAATTTCACTTATGTTTGGGCTCACTTCATCGCTAAACATGCAACAATTTCGATTTTTTTTTTATCTTAGGTACGATCTGTCGATCATCATTCAGACAAACGGATTTACTAACACTCTTTTGGATTTTTAGCCACGATCTCCCACTGTGTGACGCCGAATCGAGTTCGATACGAACTCGTCCTCGTTCTGTGGCAAATTGGGTATACATAATGTGACCAACTATTTCACAGCTCAAAGAAGTACGGAAACTGAAAATCGAAAATATTATGAAAGTAATGAGAAAATCGTAAAAGCAGAATATGCGAAAACGGTAACAGTGTACCAATTCAACAAATAAATTTTTATAATTAAAAATCGAAACTATTTATTATTCTAATGCAAGGCGCTTATTCCCAGGGAACTACTAAACGAACAGAGACAAAATATGCGGGATCCGGCAAAGAATTCCATAGAGTGGGCGCAAAGTGGTTCCAAACCTAAAAGGAACGCATTTTAAACAAGACAAAAAGTTTTTATCAGTTTTTACTGAATAATATGTAAATCATTTTTTAATTTAGCGTTTTTTTCGATAAATATAAATGATGAAAACACCTTAATACTAATTAATTATAACAAAATTAAGAACATTTTGAAAATCGTAAAGTCCCCTATACGGTCTATTATCGGACTCCGCTGGTATGCTAGGAACAAAATTTTTGAACAATTTAATTTTTCTATTTTTAATTCTGCCTCTATGATTTTAAAATGCTGGAAAACTTAAATAAATGTGGGAATATTTCAAATTTTTTTTTGCGAGTTAGAGAAGGACGAGAACTCTCCCCAGACTAAGAGTCTATTTTGCGATATGTAAGTTTAATCAAAATCACTTGAAGGATTGAGCAATTTCGTGTCCAAAAAATAAGGACTGTACGATAGTTAATGAGGAAATAGTTCATATGTTGCTCGGATAAGAAAATGTTTACTGTGGCATCGATACTGTCGTTTCTGAATATCCACAGGAGCTAGTAAGATTCGCCACAGAATCTGTAAACTTTTCTTGACTGAGTAGCCATTTGTAATTAAATTTGTCATCTAGGGAAGTGAAAGGATTGAAAGCTATAATTTATGTGTTGATCTATGAGTACCTTTCTTAATTGAGATGGCTAACCTTTTGAAATATTTCGAAACAGTTAAAGAAAATTCAACTTATAATGTAGTATCCATGATACAAAAAAGAAGGTAGTTTCATTGTCACTTTTCGGACGCCATATTAACTACCTGACATTAAGCAGATTGTGACATTTCGTGCTGCCATACCTAGTCCTCAATAATCATTTACAACACATTTACAAAATTAAAAGGAGAATTTTCTTCGATATGCGCAATAACGAAAATTGAAATTCATGACGTGATAAATATTATAGTTATGGAGGAACTCTCGATTGAAGTGGCGCTAAGAGTTTGGAAGTAAGTAGTGCGTTAATTGCAGCTTGGCCGGCAAGTAAACTCCTTCCGCTCCACCTATTTTCCACCACGTAGTCCATATCCTTGAGGATTGCAAATACCTCAGCCTGGAAGACCGAAGCATACTTGCCAAGAGAAAAGTTAGTCTTATCCCCATTAACTCCGATAAAGACCTCAACATTATGGAATCTCTTCAACAAAGGTAATGGTGACGTACTATCCTATAGCATTGAAAAGACACAAGTGCTCAAATCTCTGCCGCCAGCAATTTCCGCATCGGCGCACTCAGTGTTATACCAGCAGCCGTTTCTTTTTAGTCTGCAGGTGGTCTTTAAGGCTCCCCCACGTATGAAGGCACAAAGTGACGGTAAGTGCATCAAGAGCAACGCCACGTGTTGTAGAGAAATCTTTCGTACCGCACACGGCAGTAATTCTTTGAAGTTTTGCAAGCAGACTTCCCCCGCTCTTGATTGAGAATCTGCTCCACCATACCACTGCCGCATAGCTAATTATGGGTCTGATCATAGAGGTATAAATCCAGAGGATTCCCTATGGTGCACACCCCACGTTTTACTAAAGACCAGTTTACATTGCCAAAATGCTGCCCATTCTTTAGAGCTTTTGTGTTCCTCGTTAGATTTCCACTATAACTTTGTATCCAGTGTTACTTATAGATACTTCACTTCCGGAGAATTCTGAATTGTGACTCCTTGCATTGTAAGCGCAATGAGACCATTCAACCTTCTCCGAATCCTGGTTTCGGACTATGCTTTAATGACGAAATATCTAACATTACATCTTCTTCGGACTATTTAACAAAAAAAAAAGAGTTTTGTTATGTAAATTTATTTATTTTGTTTAAAATAAAATGAAAAGCAGCTTTTTAACAAATAAATGTTTCAAAACTAGATTTTATTTTATTTCTTCATCTCTGTACATCGAATAATTCAAAGTATCTTTTAAACGCTTGAGAAAAACGTTCAAATTTGATTATCGAACACATCATTTTACTATTGTTTGTATGTAAATTTTACTCCCAAATATTTAAAATAAAATCTCCCGTATCAAAAAGCTATGCTTAATGTTTTNCTTATCCCCATTAACTCCGATAAAGACCTCAACATTATGGAATCTCTTCAACAAAGGTAATGGTGACGTACTATCCTATAGCATTGAAAAGACACAAGTGCTCAAATCTCTGCCGCCAGCAATTTCCGCATCGGCGCACTCAGTGTTATACCAGCAGCCGTTTCTTTTTAGTCTGCAGGTGGTCTTTAAGGCTCCCCCACGTATGAAGGCACAAAGTGACGGTAAGTGCATCAAGAGCAACGCCACGTGTTGTAGAGAAATCTTTCGTACCCCACACGGCAGTAATTCTTTGAAGTTTTGCAAGCAGACTTCCCCCGCTCTTGATTGAGAATCTGCTCCACCATACCACTGCCGCATAGCTAATTATGGGTCTGATCATAGAGGTATAAATCCAGAGGATTCCCTATGGTGCACACCCCACGTTTTACTAAAGACCAGTTTACATTGCCAAAATGCTGCCCATTCTTTAGAGCTTTTGTGTTCCTCGTTAGATTTCCACTATAACTTTGTATCCAGTGTTACTTATAGATACTTCACTTCCGGAGAATTCTGAATTGTGACTCCTTGCATTGTAAGCGCAATGAG